GCGAAGGCAATGCATTTTAAACAATTCCCTATATGCTTTATTGCTTTTTCCTTAATATATGGGAACCAGTAACTCTTTCCAATGGCATCGATCATCTTATCTCTCCCAGCATGTCCCAACTCATCATGATATTTGTAAAGTACATGTTCTTCCATATCCTTTGGTACATAAAAAACTAATCTGCCATCATTTGTTTTTCTGTAAATGACCCCATTTCTCATTTCGAATAGCTTGTGCTCTTCTTTTTCTAACATCTTTCTAATATCTACCAGTTTGTCATCTTTGCTTTGGCAAATAACTAAATTGTCCTCAAAACTATTGGATTCAATAACTAAAATGTCCTCATAACATCTGCTTAACGCATCCACATGTTGCATTTGCTTGCCCGATCTATGCACTAACTCAAAATCGTAATTTTGTAGTTCTAACGCCCATCTAGCAATTCTCGGATTTAAATCTATTTTGTTAAGCGTTAAAGTTAAAGAGTTGCAATCTGTCATTATTTTAAATCGTTTTCCCTGCAGATATATACGAAATCTGCGTAATGCGTAAATGATGGCTAACGTTTCTAACTCAAAACTATGATATTTAGACTCTACTTCGGTTGTTCTTTTAGAAAAATAAAAAATCGGGTGTAATTTCCTATCTTCTTTTTTTTGAAATAAAACAGCCCCAAATCCCACTGCGCTGGCATCACAATGTAGTTCTATTTCTTCTTTGTAATTATATATTGATAGTACTGGCGCCTCTAACAATTTATCTTTTAACATATTAAAACACTTAAACTCCTCTTCTCCAAACTTGAATTTCTTATCTTTTTTCAATAAATCATATAAGGGTTTAGCTAATATAGAAAAGTTTAAAATGAACCTCCTGAAGTAGGAGCATAACCCTAGGAAACTTTGTACTCCCTGAATTTTGTTTGGTATTGGAAAGGATTTAACCGCTTCTAACCCTTTTTCATCAGCCCTAACGCCTTTACTATCCACCACAAATCCTAAATATTTAACGCTGCTTTTAAAAAATTCACACTTATCTAATTTCAACTCTAATTTGTTTTGCACCAGTCTTATAAACACTTCCTTTAAGGTCTCCATGTGTTCCTTTATGTTTGTACTTGCTATCATAATATCATCCATGTAAACAATTACCTTATTATCTTTTATCATATCACAAAATATGTTATTAACAAATCTTTGAAATACATGTGGCGCAGTTTTTAAACCCATGGGCATCCTAAGAAATTCATATTGTCCTAAAGGGGTAACAAATGAAGTGTATTTAATAGATTGCTCATTAACAAAAACATGAAAATACCCGTTTTTTAGATCCAACTTTGAAAATACTGTTTTTCCGCATAGTCTGTCTAATAAATCGTCGATCAATGGTAGCGGGTAGTTGTCTCTACATATAATTTTGTTCAGTCTTCTAAAATCAATACATAACCTCATGTCTCCAGTTTTTTTCTTCACTAGTACTATAGGTGATGCATACTCTGAACAACTTGGCCTAATGATTCCATCTTTTAAATAGTCGTCTAATAATTCTTGCAACTTTTCTTTTTCCATATAAGATAACCGCCTAGGTGTACAATTAAATACTTTGTCGTTTTCTAATCTTATGCTTAACTCATGTCTTAATTTTGGCTGATTTGGCCTTTTCGCTTTTACATAAGTATTTTCAAATAAATTTTCAAATTCACACTTTGTGCTGTAATCAATATCTTCACTTAAAATATATATATTTTCTCTTTTGTTAGAATCTTCCCAACTTATTGTTAAGATATCCTTCTCAAAATTCTCTTCTAACACTCCCATGATTTCGCTATTCACTGGCGCTTCATTAACATGATTATTAATTTTAACTGCACTGTTTCCTATATCTTCTATAATCACTTTTTCAATCCCGGTTTGATTATAGATAATTTCATCACTAACAACTTCTTCACTATCAGGTTCGAGCTTAAGCTCTCCATAACTAACTATCTCATCACTAACAGTTTCGATCCCAATCACTTCATTTCTAACTATTTCACCACTAATTATTTTATTTCTAACTATCTCATCACTACCAACTTTATCACCAAGCGTTTCCGGACTAACAATTTTCTCACTAACTAATTCATCACTACCAGTTTCATTACTGACTATTTCCTTATTAACGATTTTATCATTTAACAATATAGTTTCATTTTGCTCGTGTTTGATATCTTCATCGTCCACTTTTTTTTGTTTTTCTTTGTAGCTTGTAGCTATGATATCATTTTTACCATTATTCTGGTGATCAACTTTATGCCCGTTCACAATTTTTAATGTTCTTAAATCAATATTTAAACCAAAAGAATCCATAAAATCTCTACCAAGCACAGCGTCATACCTCATAGACTCATTTGCCACAATTATAACATTAAAATAAACATTTATTAACTTTTTCTTCATAAAACATAAAATTTTTCCAAAATTTTTCAATTTACTTTCATTTAAACCTACATACGAATTTGCATCTGGCATACGCTTTACTTTTAATGGCACAAACTTTTCCTTTAAAAATGAAATAGGGCTGCCAGAGTCTATAAGGCATTCTGCAATTATTGATTTGTTAAATGAGTTACTAAAATGAATTCTTAAGTATCTTACATATTTGTTTTCCATATCATACTTTTTATTTGGACATCCTGCTATTAAATGATCCTTTGAGCCGCACGCATAGCAAGATCCTGCCTCCCGTTTGGGCTTTAAACAATCTTTGGCCCAATGGCCCTTAACATTGCAATTGTAGCAACGTTGTTGTTTGTCCGCCTGTGCTTCCTGTGCAGTTTGTTTCACTACATGGTTTCGTACCCGTTTAATTGGCAACTTTATAGCTGCAAACGCACGTAAAATTTGAGCCGGATTGGTAAAGCAATGCATACTAGCTTGAGTGCGCAAGTTTTCGCAAGGTATGCCTCGAATAATACCCTCCATTAACTCCTCTACATCAATGTTGATGTCCTGTGCCAATATGCTTTTTTCGCTAAAATATGTGGCGAACACCTCATCTGGTTTCCAAACCCGATCCTCGAACTTCTGTCGTAGTTCCGACTTCGAAAATCCTCCCCCGAAGGCCAAAACCAATTGATTTAGCATCTCGTCAATCGGAGCAATGATGCGCATAGGGTCTGCATGCAACCACTTCAAAGCACCGCCTTTCAATTTGCTTATACAAAGCAAGTGCTGTTGCATATCATTTAGTCTGTAGATCTTGGCCACATTGAAGAATTGCATTACCCATTTACGCACCTCACTTTCTCCAGTAAATTCTAATAAAATTTCCTTGGCTAACATCATCGCTCCAGTTTGGATGCAATTATTTAAGTTGCCTCCGACAGCGTTGCCACTTTCGTCGATCCTTCCAGCTGCCCCAACGTTGCCCGCTGCACCAGCGTGATCAGCTGCACCAGCGTTGCCATCCGTTCCAGTGTAATCAGCTGCACCAGCGTTGCCATCCGTCGACCGTGGTCTTTCTTCAGTGTGACCATCCTCTAGCTGCAATAAATCGCCGACTTCACTTTCTTGCTCTCCCCCGTCGCTCCCGCCGATGTGCGAGTTGCGGTTCACCGTTACTTGAAATTCTTCTAGGAATTTTCGAGACGCTTCAATTTCGAGACGCATCAATTTCAGCATCTCGGCGCCATTTGCTATTTCGTCACGCTGTTGTTGCATTATGTTTTGCAACTCATTTTGAGCCTCAATTGTCTGTTCCTTGTTACGTTGAACTTCAAGTTCCTTTGCAGCATCGTCTCGGATATCCACTGGTACCTTATTTAATCTCGCCATCAGCTCAGTTTTGGTACCCTCTGTTGGCAAATTTAGTAATGCCAACCAACTTTTCAATGTCGCTATTGACACGTCATTTATATTTATATTTTCCATTTTGTTGTGTTTTTTTTTTTTTTTTTTTCTGAGTCAATCCCACTTCTGATATTGTAATAGTATGATTTTCTTCGTTGATTTAACTTATGTTCGGGTTGCCTTTTTATTTTTAACAACACGTCTTCTTACTGCTAGTACTGTAGAGAGACTGCCTTCCACTTCTTCTCTGCAGCCGCTTTTCTTTATCGATATTTACTTATCGTACTGTTATAATTAACATAGATAGTGACACTATAATACCCTGGCTAGGGTTACCAATGATGCTCTTATCCTATTACAATATCAAATGCAAGAAACCAATTAACATGTATATATTGCATATTTTATTACTAAGCATATAGCCCAGGGCCTCCTAAAGGTTGCCTATTCACTCGCATAAGAACTCTTATACTCCTGCATTTACGTTCTCGAGAGCAGGTTCACTTTAGATAGGCAGCCGCAACGTTTCACTCAGCCCACATTATTTATGACTTTTATAACATTTTTCATACATAAAAACACTACAAGTATAATATTTTTAAATTAAAGAAATACAAAAACTTTATCATAAATCTAAAATACTTTGAACTAAATATTTTGCAAATATCGAGAAAAAAAATCATATATATTTTATCAATCATATATATTTATTCCAAATTTATTTATATTCCTATAAATACACTATATATTTGACTACATGGCTGACTTTTCTATGCAAAACGTAAACCATTTCTTAGAAAATGCACGAACGACACGTATAAACCGACCGATTTTAATGGCATGGTAAAGCATGTACAAGTAAATGTGAAACGCTTAAAGCAGCGTCTAAGCCGTAATGCATGTGAAAATACCCTGTAAATTGTCGTGTGGTATCGCTCACAGCATTTGTATGACACACTCGCAAATTCTCAAACTACTCCAATTATTTATCATGATATTACAAATTAAGAAACGTAATGCAAATGCTGTTTTTATTGTACATTTTTATTTCTAAAGCTTCTGTTTTTAGTGTTGCTCAATTTTATGAAGACCCATGGAGCGTATACTACTAATATTGGATAAAACTTGTTCTCTTTTTGTTTGTTTGCTTGGTAAAAAACCGACATTCAGGTACATATTTCAACTGTATCATGTTCATGGTTGCGTCGTCTGTGGTGCTAACGGTTGTGGTACTCAACTATCATCATCGCACAGCGGATATACACGAGATGCCACCGTGGGTATGTTAGAGACCCAAAGCCATTCCCAATTGAATACCAAAGAATTGCTATTCTTTCGCAGATCAAATCCGTTTTCCTACAATGGCTGCCCTGGATATTGCGCATGGGTCGGCCCGGTCGCAAGATCACGCGCAAGTCAATATTATTAAGCAATCGCATGAAAGAGCTGGAGCTGAAGGAACGTTCTTCCAAATCCTTACTAGCCAATGTTCTTGATATCGATGACGATTTTCGTCATACAATATCAGGCTCTCAAACCGCCATCGGTTCGTCGGCGTAAGTATTGAGTTTCTTTTTTCAATTTATTCGATTTTATAAATTTGTAAATCGATGTCTTTTTATCGCAACTGTAGCAGCTTTGGCAGACCCACAACGGTGGAGGAGCATCACACTGCAATAGGTTGCAATCACAAAGATTTACACTTAATTCTCAAAGAATTGCAATTCATAACGTCACGCATGCGCAAAGCTGACGATGAAGCGGAATTGATAAGCGATTGGAAATTCGCTGCAATGGTTGTGGATAGGTAAGTTATCGAAACGGCGGATAAGAAATAGCTAAATAATCCAGCTAAAATATAAATTTTTCTACTCTGATTGCTTAAATGAAAATGGGTTTTTAAAAATGTTATACTTTTTTTGGGCGGAATTTAAACGCACATTAGCCCATCTTAAACTCTTGCAGTGGGCAACATTCTTGTTATTTGTAAGCAGTTTCCGATTACTGAAGCTTTAATACTTAATTTTAAGTACTAAAGGTTTATTTAAGGTTTAAATTTAGTGTCACATTTTAATAGATGACAAAAAAATCGTTATCCATTTTTGTATTTATTTATATTTGCCAGGCAATATTGGCAACTGGTCAGTTTCTTTGGGATGATATTTTTAAAATATACTTCAAGTTCAAAGCAATTAAAATCATAAAAAAAAATCATGAAAATCTATCATTATTATTATTATTTGTGCATTACTAGCTTTTCCCATATATCAAAATGATTTCCAAATTAAATGAATGTCTGCCTTTTCAGCACATTCATTTCGATTTAGATATTCATATTAGAATTATGAGTTTAGGCTAGGGAAAATCTGTGATTACCCTGAATTTGGCTCAGGCTGTCTGGGCAGTCAGCCCGTCTAATATATAGTGACATAAATCTAGTAAATAACTAACACAGTGACTGCAAACAGTGCGGCTACTAAGAACTGCCTGACGCTGTACTAAATCAAACAATTAAGGCAACAGCCGCATGGCCACACAACTTCCGGTTATTTGCTGTAGCATACAAACACACACATGCACAGCACGTGGCATTAATAAACAAGCATGGCGGTAGGTGTACAATTGACGCCATTTTGTTGTTGGGAAATGTACATAAAAGCGTGTGTGCGTGCTTGTGTATATAAGACTTGCACCATGCTTATACTCTATATATATTTAATCTATCTTTATCATTGTATATTCTTCTACTTCACAGATTTTGCTTAATTGTTTTTACGCTCTTTACGATTATTGCAACGGTAACCGTGCTGCTCTCAGCTCCTCACATCATCGTGCAATAAGGACGCTCAATTTAGACACGTTAAGCTACACACACACACACACATACGCATATACGACCCATGCTGTATATGTGGGGATGCCTAGTTAAGTTCTTTTCCAAAACAACAAATAGAGAAGCTGCTTTGCAAAAAAGCAAAAAAAAATAAATAAATTAAAAAAATTGTTAATTACATTTTTAAGTCAAAGTATAAGAAACGCAAGCGAAAAAATGCTAGAAAAGCAAGAGACACACTCAAGAAAATTTCACATATGAAATGTAAAATTTAATAACACAATTCGTGTGTGTACTAAACAAATATTTTATGAAAATGAAAAACAAAAAACAAAAAAAAAAAACAAAACAAAGCAAAAATTACTGCCGTACAACAAAAAAAAATAAAACAAGAAAAAGGAAACCAAATAAATAAAAAGAAGAAAATGTTAATTGTCTAAGTTAAGAGACAAGAAAAGAAAAAAGTTACCAACTAAAGAGCAAAACACAAAAAAAGAAAACAAAACAAAAAAATTGCATAGTAATAGCAAAACAAATTACTAAACAAAACGTTTCAGAAAGAGAGAACAAAAAGGATTAGGCAATTATGTGCGTATATGTAACACACATATGCATATACATATACACATATACATATATATGTGTGTGTGTGTGTGTATGTGTATGTACAATGAGGAACTTATAAGTTAATTACGCTGAGTTGTTATAATTTATGTATGTTAGCATACACACACACAGAGACACACACGGCAAGAGAAGCGAATACATTATATGTATGTATATAAGAGAGATTGTTCCTATGAGACATTAGATATGTATTTAAAACTCACACACACACACAAGCACTTAATTGAGTAATGCAAATAACTAGGGACAGCAGCCATTTTATATGTGAAAGAGTTGGAAATTCAGAAATGGACAAAAACCCTACAAAATCCATTCTTTATTAAATAATTGATTCGTTTTATATTGTTTTCAACTTGTGTTTACATCATGTGGACCAAAGCAAATTATTATTTTAATTATTTTTTAAATAATTCTGAGCTAATGAAACATTTGTCAACTTTTTCATTAAGGTTTAGTTTTCAACTAACCTAGGCGGTCTTCTAAATTCAAATTTATTTTATTTTCTTTTTATTTAATTTACATTTTTCTGAAATATTTTTGTAACTCACGAAATTGTTAATAAGTCGTAAAAGGTTTAAGTACGTTTTGTTTAAAGAAATTTCTGTTGTACAAAAAAAAAAACAACAAATGCCATTGAGTGTGTGTTTGAGATGTGTGTTTAGGATAGCATCTAGGTGGGGCATAAATGGCAACAAACTGACACATAATAATAAATATAATTAAATATATAAACAAAAAAAGAAAAAGAGTATAGTACCATATAGTTAATTTTTAAAAAACGCGCATACAAAAACTAAATATTATTAAATAAGAATAAAAACAGAACAAATACTTTGAGAATATGTTCATTGAACAAACGCTGTTTTTAGAAAATTTATTGTTGAAATGTTGTAGTAAATTGAGAGAAAAAGAAATCCGAAAAAAAAATAAAACACACAAGTTATAGTCACCAATTAAATGCAAATGAGAAAATTAGTCAAATGAAAAGCAAAATCAAGAAATAAATAAAACAAACTAGCAATACGAATTATGGACAGTATAAATAAATAATAAACGCTGGTGTATATATATTTTATGACACATATATCACCGCATAAGCTCATATACAGATATATTTTTAATAAAACGAAAAACGGAAGCAACAACTACAAACACTTAGCAATCCAAGAACTACCAACAACCAATAATACTGCAAAAACAACAACACAATTTTGTTGGAAACTTTCAAACATTTTTCCAATTATTATATTTCTTATTTTTTTTTGTTTGTATTTTCCTTTTTTTAAACATCTGGTTATACTTCCGATTTGTATCCTAGCTAAAAAAAAACTAATTTGTTTTCAAGCAAATAAATACAAAGCGAAACAGTGATATTTACGGTTAAAACGCTCCCAGATTGTAAAACTTTTCAAAGACCCACCTATAAGAACCTTTTAATGTACATTTTTTCTACGCAAAAACCAAAAGAACGAACAAATATACTTAAAAAAAAAAACCTACCTCCTTGTTAAAGCGAAACACCTGTTGAAAATGTCTCGTAAACACTGCCGTATAAACTCGCACATACTCGCTATTTATCCCACATGAAAACCTAACTCCGATCTGTACTTATGTTTACCCCACCCGACCACAATTGCTCTGTCTATCTCTGTCTTACCCATTTAGAAATTTCTAACAGAATTGTGCCAACTCTCGCTCTCTTTCTCTCTATCCCACTCACTGATTTGCCAGACGTAATTTTACTTAAATCGGAAAAGAAATACCCATTAATATATACACTCATATGAAAGCTTAATCAATTTACACACACACACAAACGCACACACACACACACTGTGAGCTGAACTAAACATCTGAAGGTTATACGACTTTTTATATACTTACTACAGGGCACTCGATTTGTATGTTTTATTTTGCATTTGATATAATGTAATTTTTGACTACCGATAACTGTTCTGTCCCCCTGAGGTTGTTTAGAGAAGGAACAATAAAAATGTGCTTAATTTTTGTTTATTCTCATTAAAATACCCTTTGATATATTTTGCAATTCGCGCAATTAGCAATGGAATTCAATTGGAAATAAAAGCGTTTAGCAAGTATTTAATTTTTTTGTAATTAATTTAGTGCTTAACTTTGAGCAACTAGGCGCATAATTAGAACTACTATGTATTTCTATATATATATATATATATAAATATATATATATATATGTGTGTGTATGTATGTCTTTTTGATAAAAAGAAGCTATTTTAAAAAAGCAAAAACCATTTTCTACACTCTTTAAAAGATTGAAGTCTACATGTATGTATTATAATACTATAGCATTAAATAGGCAATTATAAAAAGAAAACAAAACAAAAATGGAAAACTAAAGTTAAATTTAAATAAGCGTCCTACATTAGGAGAGGACAACTTGAAGAAAAAAAAACGAATTTAAAATTACAGCAAAAAGTAATATGTTAAAGAAAAAAAATGACATCTCAAACGGCAAGTTGTAGTAAAAAAATGTTTTATCATTTGCTAAAAGTTTAACAAAAATAAGAAAAAACAAAATCTCGAATTACTATTCTGCTGATCAGAGTTACACTAAATGCTTATTAGAAACAAAAGGTTGGCACACACACACTCGCATACAACAAACATACACACACACACACACACACACACCCACACATTTGTCTTATTCAAATAAAGAGCAGATCGCAAAATTCAGACAATTCCGTTTTACTTTTTGTTCAATTTTTTTTACTGCTGCCCATCTATGCAGCTAAGCTTAAAGACGATGAAAAACTAAAGCAAAAACCAGAAAGATCGGTTCCAATTTTAAAAAATGATATAATTAATATTAGCATTTAAATAAAAAAAAAACTAGGCTATTAACTGCAAATGTTAAGCACTAAAACTCACCAAAAACCAAACCAAACCAAACAAAACAAAACCGTTAAATAAATCCCAACGCCTCTAAAAAAGTTTCCCCAAAAACTACCAATTCAATTTAAATAGCTAATTGCATAATTAATAATAAAAAAAATCGTTACCGCAATTTGTGTAAACTCAAAATGAAACCCAATTATTGCATGTAAAGATAATGATTATAAGCCACAAAAACCAAAAAACAAAAAAAAACCCAAATTAGCAACATAAAAAAAAGTCTGTTGTCGATACGTATTATTGACAGACAAATAACTTTCGTCACATTGACGATAATAATTAATTGTAAGCAAAAATGGAATTAAATGATTTAAATAGTAAATTAACCTTAAAAATCGAGAGAAATGAATGCGACAAAACATAAACAAAAACCAACAAAAAAAAACATGAAAAAACTGAATAAAATTTATTTTGAAAAGAGAATAAGAAATTTTACTTAATTCTTTTATAAAAGGAATAAACGTGGGACTTTTTTTGTAATATGCAGTTTAACAAAAAACATAACGTTAAAGTCCCTTATGCTGTATAACAGCTGCCAATCAGAGCAGACATGTTATCGATATGTACTGTAACTTAACAGTGCTTAGCTAACAGCTTGCATTTCGCGTTAACAGCTAAAATGTTATTTAACAGCTGTTTAGACAAAGCCAGCAAAATTTGTTTAAATGCAAAACAAATTGAACAAATTCATTATTTTGTTGAAATAAAGTTTAGCAAATAACATGAACATAGACCTGCGCAAACTGTGCCGCATTTGTTTTGTGGACAACGCCGACATAGACATAACGCAACACAAAGTGGTGACAGCGAGCCAAACAATCGACGCAGACGCCGAGGAGGAGGAGCACACAATATGCGAAATAATGCAGGCCATATTTGTAGGTACACAGACTTAATATGAATAACATAATTATTTATAATGCACTATGCCCGGCACAGCACATCTCATTGGACCTATCGTCGGAGCTGCCCATGATATGCAATGCCTGCCTGGAGGAATGCCTCATGCACTATGCATACTTCAGCAAGCTGATGATAGCCAATCGGCAGCTGCGTCAGCTCTATAATGAGGCGCAGCTGGAGCGGGAGCAGCTGGAGCTGGAGGTGGAGTTGGAGGGTGACGTTCAGCTGATAGAAGTCAACGTGGATGAGCAGTCAACGCAGCAGGACCCGGAGCAAATGCTGCTGGACCTGCCACGTCCCTCACAGCGTTTGGCCAACGAGGATTCGCTGATTGTATCCGAATTTCTGCCTGCCACCGAACTGCACGAGCAGGAGCAGGCCGAAATGGACCAAAATCTATCGCATTTTCCCAGCTACGAGCTACGCACACTGGACTATGCGGCCGTTGAGCTGAAGCACGACAATCTGGACGAATACAATGAAACGAACCGCCTGCTGGACAGCGAGCCCAGCGGCAGCCAGGCCATCTACAAATGCAAATACTGTCCGCTGGCCTATGCCTCGCAGCAGTTCCTCAAGACCCATGTGCGCCGGTCGCATGTCTGCAAATACTGCACCACAGCCTTTGTCAAGGTGAAGGAACTGAACGCCCACATACGGGACAAGCATGCGAATAGCCATCAGTGCGTCGTCTGCCTAAATAGCTTTAGCACCAGCAGCAATTTGCGTGCCCATCTCAAGCGAATGCACGGCGTTCAGCTGCCCGCCCAAGTGGCCCTGCTCGACTATCGACCGGCGCACAGGGAGAACGGTCAGCGGCGGAGCATCGAGTATGATAAATAAATTAATTACCGGAGATATACAGATTTGCATCTCTGCACATTTTCCAATCTGCATTCAGTTTGCTTTTAATGACCAAAATAAATGTGATTTTTCTCTTACCACATCGCCCTGCTGCTTGTCCAAGCCATCTATATACATGGGCGTAAACTCTCGGTACGCAATGCAAACGCGTCGCTCATCCACATCCTCGCGGAGCACCGCATGCTCGAACTGATAGCGCGCCGGTCCATAGAGCACAATCAGCGAGAGGCTGCAAGGGATCAAGAAAAGGTCAATTGGTTTTCGCTTTGCACATGCGACTCGGCACAAGTTCGAGTGATCTCGTCGAAAAGGCTCGACTCGGCTGATAGCCTATAGAAACTGTATGATCAGTCCTGCTGAGCCTGACAACAAAAGGATATTCCCCTACCAGGCTTAGCTACAAGATTCGTTTGCGAAGAATCAGACAGACACATGGATCACCCTCAAAACCCTAAAGTAAGTCTAAAACAGTCTAAACTTAGCTCTCTATACGCACGCAGGGATTTATAATCAGATACTTACTTTGGCATGGGTATGCGCAGCACCTTGCCCTTGTAGGCCGCCAACTGGTCCGGCGACAAGAGCGGCGCCAGCAGCTGTGCTTTGTATTGCTGGACCAAGTCCAAATTATATTTGTTTGCCTGCTGTTCCTCGTAGAGGTTTAACGTGAGCACGGCATCGCCCAGGCAATTGACGGTGACCACACGCTCGCCCCATATCCAGCAATCGTCCACATGCGGATCTATGCTGGCGCCCTTGCTGGGATCATACTCCAGCGAACATTGTTCGATAGTCTGAAAGTTGCGCAGCAGCGGCACCGACTCGAAGCGTTGCTGCACAAAGCGCGTGGCAGCGGGAAAGCCCTCGAAGGCGCCCAATTGCAGGCGACGCTTCTTAAAGTTGGTTTTCGGGCCGTAATTCTGTTTGCGTCGACCGCTCTGTGAAATGGCCCAGGGCAGCGCGTCCAGGTCGGACATAAGCTGTGCGCCCTCTGCACGCGTGATAAACTGCTCCTGCACCAATATGCCTGGCAGTGGCAGACTCTCGGCCAAATTGTGATCCGGATGTGCCGCTTGCACCGCCTGCGTGTCCCAGCCGGCGTATAGACGTTCACATTGTGCACAATAGGACCAGGATTCCAACTGTTGCAATTGCTGCTGCAGTGATGGTTTATCGATTTGGTAGTCCTGCTCACAGGTGAGGCAGGTGCGCACACCTTTGCAGCCGCACGGCCGCAGCGTGTTCATTTTAATGTATCCAAATAATTCAGCGATTTGCGAAGGTGCAAAATTAAGGGCGCCACACGCTCAGCTGTTGTTTGACACGAGTTGGCAGCTCTGTCATCTGTCTGGCCACACGGTACACGATACAGCCGCCAATTTATCGGGAATATTTCCGTTATTTCTGGCTGGAGAAAATTAATTGAAGACATATGTACGTTAATAAAAAATAATGAAATAAAATTAATTAAATAAAAATAAGAGTTTTCTTGGTTTGAAATACAGTATTTTTGCCAGTCAATTCTATACTCACTTTGGAATGGGTATGCGCACAGATCACGGCTAACAAGGAGCCTTTGGTGCTCCAGTTGCACCGCCAAACTTTTGTATGCAATGAAAATATGAAAACCGTTGCAATTACTCGTTTGAATAGTCCTGCTCAAAGGTCAGACAGGTAAGCACACATAATTATATCTTAATAATCACGGATATATATTGTAATATGTAAATTAAATTTTCGCGAAATTAACAACTTCAGGCGCCAAAACACTTAACACTGACGCCCACAATTTTTTTAACACTAGCTGGCAGCTCTGTGGGCTAAGTGGCAACACTTGAACACGATACAGCCGATGAATTTTTAAGGACATGCTTGATGAGAGCAACGGATGCAGTGAGTTGTTGAAGCGGACATTTTGAATAAAAATGAAAAAAAAAATATTCAACTACTGCTAGTCAGTAAAAAAGTGTTACGACTTCTTATAGCTAAGAAAATTGCAATTTGGCATTCTTCATTTGATTCGATACTATCGTTTGCACGTTCGGCTTGTTTTGTGACGTGTGTGTGTCCGCATTAGTGTTTTGGCGCGTTTTGAGGCTAACACGGCTTGTAAAATTTGTGGAATTAATATATTTTTAATCATACTTGAGCAAAATGAACGATTCCTGTAAGTTATTATACTTATTAAACTGCCAACTTGTAGTTAAACATTATTTCTCTACCCTTAGTTGGAGATTTCAATGCCACACAAACGGCCACTGCCGGCGCCACAAAGGAATCCTCCGGCGAGGTTAGTTTAATGACTACAATTAACTCTTCTTATACCCTAATTAATGTTTATATTGTACAGGGTATTATTTCGCTGCTGGTCAAGCAGATTCTTGATTCACCCGAGGGCAATTTCAAGATGTTCGATGTTACCTATGCTTTGGTCTGCGCCGTGGGCATTGTGCGCAACATTGAAACGTCCTCAACGAAGATCACATACTCCTTGGAGGATCACAGTGGACGCATTGATGCACACTACTGGCTGGAGGAGGGCGATGCCATCAAGTCGCCCGATGTGATGATTAATAACTATGTGAAAATCTATGGTTCAGTGCGCTCGCAGGCGGGCCAAAAAGTTCTGATGGTCTTCAAGCTGATAAATGTGCTAGATCCCAACGAGGTGTGCACCCACATTCTGGAGGCGTTGCATTCGCGTTACAAGGCCGAGGAGTACCATGTCAAGGGCGACACATCAGCTGCAGCCAGCAACACGCTAATGACCAATGTAACTGCCACACAAAGCAATGCCATTGTTGCTGGCCTGGACAGCAAGCAGCTGGCCGTCTTCCAGGCTATTAAGAGCAACTGCTCCGAGGAGGGCATCCATCGACGCGAACTGAATGCCAAGTTCTCTCACATAAGCCAAGCCGAAATGAAGTGAGTTCTGTTTATCTGTAAATTAAATTGTTGTACTTATGGTTATCTTAATCTCAATCTACAGCAACATTCTGGACTTTATGATATCTGAGGGCCACATTTACTCCAGCATCGATGCAGATCACTTTATATGCACCATGTAGTTATTAATTTTATATACTCTATATATAATACGAAATAATTAAGTATCTTGAAGAAGTTATATACCTATTCATTTTGTCAACTACTTTGAAAAGATTCGATTCCATTCAATATTTGATTTGGATGCATTTGTATTCAAACTTTAAAAACGCGATTCGAATAAGTCGTTGCGCCCTCTCGGCTATTTTATAAATAGAAACACGTAGGCAAATCCAACTAGCAGACCTGTTTCTAATTCCGAAATCGTTTGATATTTGCGGAACTCAAATTTGGTTCCGCAACGTGCTCGGGCTTCAACTTTAATCGATTTTATATTAGCATAGAATAGAATACTTAAGGCTTATTGGATACAAATATAACTCTTTCCCTGAGACACGGCAGTTTCCATTCAGGTTCATGGATTTTTCGAAATGCTTGAAGCAGAAAGGTCTTGGTCTTTCGTAATGATTGAAGCAGAAAGGAAATCAGTTCAAAGACCAATGGGTTAAGAATCAAATAACTGTTTTTCACCAATTTCCCACCCGATTTCGTGGAATTGTGTAAAGCTCCATGGAAATGCGGAGTGAAAGTCCACCGAAAAACTGAAAAATATTTTAGGAAAAAAAATTAACTTATACTGTAACATGCAAATTGATGTATAGTATTTAGAAAAACATCCAGTTTAAATTATCATCTTATTTTCTCTTGAGATTTTTATTACTTGCGTACAAATTCACATTGGGTACATTTTGTTTTACGCTTTCTTAAACTTAATACTTAATCAAGTTAAACCTGTTTTCAATCAAACAAATGCTGCTTGGTGCTCAATACTAATCGTTTGTTTTTATACATATAGTATAGGTGTATATATATATATATATATATATATACATATATATTCTCTACAAGTCCTGGTCTGGCGCTTAGTGTTTGCTTCCAATGTGGAAAATAGTCAAAAGCGTCGCATGATGCAGGGTTTGATGCAATGATTTTCTACTTTTGCTCACTGTACAAATTATAAATGGGACGTGGTGCAAATCAGTCTTATGTGCCTGTAGGTGGGCGTGGCTGTGGGCAATTATGGATCCTTGTATGGAGCTCAGATCTTCAGACAGCTGCGATGATTGCCGCTGCGCGCATAGACCTCCTCGAAGGCATGTATCAGCTCGTCCATGCCACGGAGCAGACCCTCCTCGCGATTGCCAGGTTGCCAGGGACTGCGATGATTGACGCTCAACTGTGGCGGCAGCTGCCGCGATTTGGCAAAGTCTATCAGCCAGGCGCCGACGCGCTGGTCATCGTAGACAATAAATAAACTGGAGCCGATGATCTCGTGGCGACTGAAGAATGCCGACTGCTCGATGACGAGACGCATGTGCTTGAGCCGTTTCAGCAGCTCCTTTTGCACGGACCTGCGTGCGGCCAGGAACTGTTCGATGGTCTGTGAGATTTGCTCGCTGCTGCGACAAGTCTTGAGATCCTTCAGGGGTGAACGTCCGCGCAGACGCAACGCCTCAATACGAAAGCCCTTGCTCTGCGACGAGGATAACGATTCGCGGAAGAGCATGTAACGCAGCTTGGTGATCGCCTGTGCCTCGTGCTCGGCGGGCGTCGGTGCACTGGCATCCACGGCAATCATTTTCTGATACAAATCCGGACGCAGCGTTTTGTTGCTGACCTCCGACTCCAGAAATGTGCGAGTGCCGAGCTTAATGTCCATCACACACGGATCCTTGAAGCCCGCCAGCAGATCCTGCAGCTCGATATAGTGCTGTGAATGCAGCTCGCGCAGTCCAAAGTAGCCGGGCACAATCTGTGAAGTTTTGGGCTCCTGCGAGATCATCTGATAGGCAAGCACCTCGCTGTCATCGATGCCAACGATGCGTTTGCGCACAATGCCCGTTGTGGTGGGCACAATGCTAAAGTGGGAAGAGAAGACAAAACCGATTGATTAGACTATGATTTTTTGAGCACTCTATTTGAACTGCTTACCTTTCGGGATGTCCGGAGAGCTGCATCCAGCCGTGTGGCTTGGACTGCGTCTGTTGTTGTTGCTGTTGCAGCAGCAAGGGTGTGGCAGGTGCGCTCAGTTCCAAAGCGTTCTGCAAGGCAAACAGAAAATCAAAAAACATTATTATCATTATTTGTATTATTATCAGTTAATTAACCCCATTGGACTATTATATCGAATATAGCTGGAGAAAATGGACTATCATATTTAACTTGAAGACATAACAGAGTGAGATAATTTAATGAGAGTAAATAATTTCAAGGAACCCAAGCTTTACTTCGAACTTTAACAGAGTACAATGTAATTACGTAAGTTTCCTAAATTAAGTATGCCTCATTTAATGCAGTGTCAAGAATTTAATTAATATTAAAGCTAGCTTCGTCTATTTTACGCTGAATATTCATGGGTAATCATTATTCCGATCACAAGCTGCAATAAAGCCGATAACGTATGGAAACGAACTGCATAGAGAGTTCCATGGCCCATTGTGTTTATCAGAAGGGTGCAAAAAACCTACTGATAAAGAGACAATAATATTTCACACTCGCCGCGATAGGGACAAATTCAATGAAATTGTTGCATCTGTTTGAGAACTGGTTTCAGGCAAACAGAAACAGAAATCAAACATTTCATATTTTCAATAGCATGTGTTGTGTGTGTGATCGGGGGCAGATTGAAGTACTTGCCGTCTGCTCAAGATTATAAATAATCAAACAAACAAAACAAAAAAGAATTTGTTTTTATTATATGCAACGTCCTCCTACCTGCCGTTCGTTTATATGATTGTAATGTGAAATTAATGCAGGCAGCACGCCAATTGTTCGCTTATTGTCTGAGGCAGCAAGCAGGAAGCGTTAAAGCGTTTGTTTTGCCTTATGGCCAGTTAATATCGCATCGATATTGATTCGATCATCATAAAAGATCATCATAATATCGAGCCCACACCTCAACCCACCAGAACCCAACGAGCTGGTACTTACAATGGCCAAGAACTTGAGCAGCGACATGTGCTGTTGTGTCGTGGGCATCGACGACTCCAGGATGCGCGCCCGGGCGGCTCTTTGCAGGCTCAAATAGTCGGCCAAGTTGTCGCAGTTCTCGTAGGGTATGGTGTTGAGGTGCTGTGGAATAGATCAGATATATGAATATATATGTATATATATATTGACGTCAGTGCCCTGCGTGAACCCAAGACGCGGCGAGCAATAAAAACAAACGAAAGCAAAACAAAATACATTTCAAATGGAGACTGCTCTACGCAGAGATACCCTGCACTACCGAAAAAATTGGTTACTTAAAAACTTTGTTGTTATTAAGTCTATTTGCGTTGTCTGCCAGACTTAGAGCTACCCTGTGCACAGCTTTATATTGGGCTTCCCAGGCAGCTTGCATGTTTATTATGCGATTTGTTTTTTGATATTGCCTTGGCTCGACTTGACTTTGACATACCCTCTAAACTTTTAGCGTATGGGGGGTATTGTAAAGCAAAAGCCTGTGACTCAGTCGCTAAATAAAAAATTAGCAACATAAAAAGCCAACCTGATTAATTATACAATCAAAATGCAACAGCAAAGTGCAAAAAATTCTATTTTGTTTACGCTGCCTTCGGATCGTATATGGCTTATAAAACGGCTCGTTGTTTTATGGGTCTCTGCCTCGGGGCTCGGGCCCATTTCAATTCTCATTCCAGTTGATCGATGTGTGTGGCTCTTCAACGTGCCCCCTAATGAGCCACTTAGTATGCAAAGTTGAATGTATTTATCAACCTGTTGTTGTTGCTGCTAAGTTTCCATAAATTGAGTTAAATGTTTATAAGATGTTTGGGCACTGCCATGGCTATAACAAATAACGAGCCCGTACGCGAAATCTTTTAATTCATTTAAC